AGGCCCTTACACATCCATAAAGCTGAGGTATAATTATACGTTTCATAAGAAGGAAGCTCCACGCCTCAGGCGTTTGCCCTGGATTGCTGGCGGTGCTCCTCTCTAGCTCCCAGGAGCAGATCTCTGAAGAACACGTAGAAGCTGCTTCCCCACACCCCTGCGCACCTACGCCAGGGACCTGCCACCACGTGGGCTCACAGCAGCCATGTCTACCCTAAACCGAGCTTGCTCAGAGAACCAGATTACCTCTTCCGCCACAGCACAGTAACCGCAGTGGGCTTTGGAGTCTGTGTGAAAGTCCTTCACGGGGCTCATGAGAAACAGAATAGATGAAGAGGCTGTAAGACATGGGGAGGGTTGGGACGTAACTCAGGGCTCCAGCACTTGCTTAGTATGTGAGAGACTCTGGGTTCCATCCTCAGCACTGCAAAAGCAAAGCAAAAAGAAAGAGAGCAGCAGCCAGGCGTCAGTGGATCACACCTGCAATCCTAGCTACTCAGTAGGCTGAGATCTGAGGATCACGGTTCAAAGCCAGCCTAGGCAGGAAAGTCCGTGACACTCTGATCTCCAATGGCCCACCAGAAAACCGAAAGTGGTGTTGTGGCTCAAGTGGTAGAGAACTCACCTTGAGCTGAAGAGCTGAGGGACAGTGCCCAGGCCCAGAGTTCAAGTCCCACAACCAACAACCAATTAAAAAAAAAAAGGGGGGGGAAGGAAGAGAGACAGAGACAGAGACAGAGAGACAGAGAGAGACAGAGGGAGAAAGAGAGAGAGAGAGCTCGCACAAGGGATCCTGGCACCAGTGACTCAGTCTGTAATCTTAACTATTCAGGAGGCTGAAAGATTCGAAGCCATCCCAAGCAAGAAAAGTGTGAGAGATGCTATCTCTGAAATAACCAGAGTTGTGGCCCTGAGTTCAAACTCCAATAGCAGGAGATGAACCCCCCCCCCACACACACACACATACAGAAGAGAGCAAGGGACACAGATTCCAGTTCACATTGTCTGCATTTTGTGGAAATGGGCGCATGCATGGTTCACATGGTAAAGCACCAGCCTTAAGCAAAAAGGACAAGCAACAGTGAGAGGTCCTGAGTTAAAGACCCAGTACCAGCCAGGCTCCGTGGCTCACGCCTATCATCCTAGCTACTCAGGAGACTGAGATCTGAGGATTGTGGTTCAAAGCCAGCCCAGGCAGGAAAAATCCGTGAGACTCTTATCTCCAATAAACCACTAGAAAACCAGAAGTGGTGCTGTGGCTCCAGTGGTAGAGCACTCGCCTTGAGTTGAAGAGCGCAGGGACAGCGCCCAAGCCCAAGTTCAAGCCCCACGACCGACAAAAAAAAAAAAAAAACAGTACCAGCAAAACAAAAAGATCTAGAGCATTTCTTTCATGCTCACAAACTATTTTGTAGTTCTTTGCAATGAACCCGCACAGTTCCATTCCCAGCCCAGGAAACCCATAAACCAGTCTTTCCATTTCTAAGATCTCATAAAGCCTTTTTTTGTGGTTGTAGGGTTTGAACTCCGGGCCTGAGCACTCTCCCTGAGCTCTTTTGCTCAAAGCTAGCACTCTACCTACTTTGAGTCGCAGCTGCACTTCCAGGTTTCTGGTAGTTAACTGGAGATGGACTGGAAATATGGTCTAGTGGTACAGTAATTGCCTAGCATGTATGGGAAGCTCTGGGTTCCATTCCTCAGTACCACATACACAGAAAAAGTCAGAAGTGGTGCTCTGACTCAAGTGGTAGAGTGCTAGCCTTGAGCAAAAGAAGCTCAGAGACAGTGCCCAGGTCCTGAGTTCAAGCCCCAGGACTGGCAAAAAAAAAAAAGTTTGTCACTTTACAAACAACATGGCATTAAAAAGAAAATTTACAATAAAAAATTTATTTAAAAAAAAAGTTAGCAGGGTGCTGGTGGCTCACGCCTGTAATCCTAACTACTCAGGAAGCTGAGATCCGAGGACCGCAGTTCAAAGCCAGCCCGGGCAGGAAACTCCATGAGACTTTTATCTCCAATAAACCACTAGAAAACTGGAAGTAGCATTGTACCTCAAACGGTAGAGCGCTCACCTTGAGATGAAGAGCTGAGGGATAGTGCCCAAGTTCAGAGTTCAAGCACCATGAGAGAAAAAAAAAAAAAAGTTAACCAGGTACCAGTGGCTCACACCTGTAATCCTAGCTACTCAGGAGGCTGAGATCTAAGGATCAAAGTTGGAAGCTAGCCTAGGCAGGAAGGAAAGTTCATGAGACTCTTATTTCCAATTAACATAAAAAGCTGGAAGTGGAGCTGCGGCTCAAGGCTCAGCCATGAGCAACAAAACTCAGCAACAGCACCCAGCCCTGAATTCAAACCCCACAAGAAATCAGTGAGAAATATGGCCAAGATGTTGTGGGTGTATCCAGGCAGAAGTTTCCCATCCCCTGAGGAGGACAGCCCTAAACCCAGCCAGCCAGAGCCCACAGATCCAGGCCAAGCCACAGCCAGGAGTAACCCTTTTACCTAAGCAGCCACTTCCTGTGACCAGTTTTGGAGAGCTGCTCTTTGCTGCCCCCTTGTGGACATCCAGCAACAGGACGCCAGGTGTGTGCATGGGATGTGGGGCGTGTCATCTAAGTGCCTTTCTCACACTCCTGAAGCCATGCTTTATTAGAACTGCTTTAAGCAGGGCCAGGGCCTCTGAAAACCGGGAGCAAAACTCATAACTCCTCACATTGCATGCCTGGGCACTCCAGGAAGGTTAGTCACAGCCTTGATTTGTGTACAAGGACAGGTGTGCACACGCACACACACACACACACACACACACACACATACACATGCAGCACACATTCATTTCCCAGGAGAGCCACACTTGTAGGGGTTCAGAGGAGATTAAAGCCAAGGGAAATAATGTCATTGCCTTTTCTAGCTGGCTTTAGCAACCTGGCATGTGTCTTTGTAAATAGGAAAAAGAAATTCAAATAAGCCAGGTGCCAGTGGCTCATGCCTGTCCTCCTAGCTACACAGGAGACTGAGATCTAAGGATTGCATGGTTGGAAGCCAGCTGGGGCAGGAAAGTTGGTGAGACTCTTATCTCTCGTTAACCATCAAAAGCTGGAGGTGGAGCTGTGGCTCAGGTGGTAGGATGCCAGCCTTTGAGTAAGAAAGCTAAGAAACAGCACTCAGGTGCTGGATTTAAGTCCTAATACTGGAGCAAAGGTCAAATAAAATGCCCCTGTACTTGAAGCCACCTAACCTGAGTCGCAGCCCTGCTCAGCGTGGGCTAGCCCGGCACACCCAGAGCGCTGCAAGCTGCAAGGAGGTACCTGCGTGCCTAACGAGGAGCTCAGCTGGGAGCCAGCGCCTGAGACCTCCCGGGATTCCCCACCTTTGGGGAACTTCTTGCTCCAGGCCCAGAACTTCACCCACCCGGGCACGCCAGGGCCTGCTGACTGCCTGACACGGGGTTCCCCAATTGCCTGCCCTATGAGTCACCAGCCAATCCAGTCACACCCTCCACGACTGCAGGCATGACAGCCTGACCACAGCCAGACCAACTCGGACGCCCAGAAGCAAGCCGTGGCTCTTATGATGAAGAGGGAATAAGTAAGGGCTTGTAGAGTTATGTGTGGGGACATGGCGCGTATCCTGGGTGGGCCCCAGGTCCGAGGAGGAAGCTGGGCTTTCAAAGGTCTGGGACAGGGGTGGCCTGCCCCTCAGGCTCTGCCTGCACCAGGCAGCACAGGCAAACAGGCCTCATTTGTGCCCCTAAGAAGCTCTAGCCTTGAGGAGCAAATATTCCAGCGTGATTCCAGCGGCCTGGGGCGTCCAGAAAACATCAGGCTGTCCAGTCACCACCTGTTCATTAGCCCAGTGTTTATTGGGTGTCCTTTGGCCTGGGGACATAGAGGTACACACTGCTCTGGTCCTGCCCTCTAGCTTGCTGAGGGCTGGACCTTGATTCCCCGTTCCCCAAAATGCTCAGTTGATCCACATCCTGCCACCCAGATCCCTGCCCGGGGTATGGGTTTGTATGGCACAGGCTGATTTAGTGGCCATTCCTTCCCAGCGTGCATTCTGCCTTTCTCACCTCCAGTACCCGGGGTCCCCAGGACAGGTTGCTGGTCCTGAGGCTAGGGGAGGACTCTCCACCTTCCTGGTAGTATTTGGCAAACCCCAAGAAAGGGTGTCCCTGTTTGGGACACCCACTTCTGGGATCCTCAGGCCCCACCCCAAGTCTCCACCAGCTTTCTGGCTTCTGTGAGGAAGAAGGAAATGTCTCAGGGCAAACTGCTTCAGGTAAGCAGCCTGCAGGAGTCCGAGGGAGTGGTGTGCCAGAGAAAACAATGCAAGGTGCTTTCTACTCCCCAACCTGACGCCGCCACGTTGTGAACTTCTGCCATTCCGGGCACAGGCCAACACCATCTTGGCCAAGTAGAAGCTTCCTTGAAACCACAAGCAGCCTGGTTCTTGTCCCACCCCACCCTTGCCCACACTCCAACACCATGGTCTGGGTGTGGGCTCTCAGGTGGCTCCAAGGCTGCAGACCCCAGCCCTGGAGTACTCGAGGATTGGAGGTGTCTCTCCTCGCTCTGGACAGGACAGCTGACGTGTGGAGTGACAGCGGGCCAGTCTTACACGTCCTTGGCCCTGAGGTGCTTCACCAGTGGCCAAAGCCCACAGGGTCCCAGGTGGAGCTGGGAAGGGAGTAGAGCCCAGCAGGGCTGGCGGGCCAGGCTGAGGCCTGGGTCGGCTGCCAGCGCTGTGGCAGGTGCATCACTTCCCTGGCTGTTGCGGCTTGCCCAGGTCTGGGGGGCCCTCCCCTGCTGGGACGCGGGCTCCTTCCTCACTCGGCAGCCAGCGGCCCCTTCTTCTGCCCAGACACCCCAACTGAGTCCTCTGGCCCCAGCTCCAGCCTGGGTGCGGGTGCCGAGCTGGGAAAAGCAGTCGCCACCAAGAGCTCCCTGGGCACAAGGCTGCTCACAGTCAGCAGCGGGGCCCGCGGGCTGGCTAGGGGGCTACCACGGCCGCCAGAGCCGGGGGTCCGGGGCGGGCCCGGGCGGGGAGGGCGCGGGCCGTGTCGCGGGCGGGCAGGGCGCAGGCGGGGAGGGCGCAGGGTCGGGCGCGGGCCGTGTTGCGGGCGCGCGCGGGCGATCGGAGCCCCCGGCGCCGGCCGCCCCCCGCCGCAGGTGCTCCAGCAGGCGGGCGCTCAGCGCGGGCTCCAGCACGCGGCACGCGGGCAGCACGCGGGCCAGGCGGGCCACGCAGGCGCGGTAGCCCTCGCCGTAGCCGTCGGCAGGCGCTGCGGGCGCAGAGAGCAGCTTGAGGCCGGGGCGGTGGGCGGGTGGGCGGGCGGGCGGGCATGGGGGCGGGCGGGAGGGGAAGGGTCACTCACGGGGCTCGGCGGGGCCGGGGGCCGCGGGCAGCCCCCTCAGGAAACGCACGGCCATTTCCAGGACGTCCGCCTTCTCCAGCTTCGAACGGCAGGAGTTCTGCACGGGCCGAGGAAGGGAAACTGGCGGCCCTGCGGGAGCTGTCCCCGTGAGACCCGCGCGCGCGCTGGTGCGTGTGCGAGTGTGCGTGAGCATGCGTGCAAGTGCTAGCGTGTGGTGTGCTAGGGAGTGCGTGCATGCGCTAGAGTGCATGTGCACGTGTGTCTGGGAGCTGTTACCGTGAGAAGGACCTGCGTGTGCGCGTGCGCGTGCCAGTCCTCGGGTTGGAACTCAGGGCCGGGCGCCGTCCCTGAGCTTTTCCGCTCAAGGCTGGCGCTCCACCACCTGAGCCACGGAGCCACTCCAACTTTTCCTGGCGGTCAGTTGGAGCCAAGCGTGTCACGGACTTTGCTTTCCGGGCTGGCTTTGAACCGCGATCCTCGATCTCAGCCTCCTGAGCGGCTGGGGTGACGCGGGAGCTGCGGGCTAGCGCGCATCCCCCCCACCCCCCCGCGCCCACCTCCACCGCGCCCCGGGCGCCGCCGCCCCGGCCGTCCCTCCCGCTGGGCGCAGCGCGGGCGGAGCCGCGCACTCACCTCCCGGCCCCGCAGCGGCAGGAGCAGTGCCCGGAGCTGGCTCAGGCTCTCGTTGATGCGCGCGCGCCGGCGCTTCTCCAGCAGCGGCTTCAGGCTCTGGGGGGGAACCCCGGGGCGAGGTCAGGTGGGGGGTAGCCCGGGACCCCGCCCCGCCTCGCCCCTAACCCCCGACTCCTACCTTGCGCAGCTCCGCCGCGTCCCCGGCTCTGCGCGGCAGCCCCATGTTTCCTGGACCCGAGCGCCGCATCCCGCTGGGGCCCGACCTGCCCGCCCGGGAGCCGGCGCCCGCCCGCCCGCCCGCCCCGCTTTAAGGGAGGCGGAGCCCCGCCTTCCTCCCCGCCACGCCCCCTCCCACCTTTGTTCCAGCGAGGGTGGAGCCCGAGGGCCCCGGTGCCCCAGGGAGCCTGTGGGGCGCGTCTGTGGCTGGATTCGTGGGCTGCCCCGGGACCCCGCCCCGGGCAGCAAGGACGGGGCAGGCCTGCGCGGGCCTCTCCTGGACCCCTCACCTGGCTCCACCGGGATCCGGGAGGCTGCAGGCTGCGAGGCTTCCGGGGACCCACGGACGGGGAAACTGAGGCCCGTGGGGCGGTCCAAGCTGAGGCACGCGCGCACACTCGCCAGGAAAAAAGTCCATCGGGGCCTCGCGCAGTGGCCTCAGCCTCGCGGAGGGCCGACCCCGGGGGCCGGGTGGGCGGCCCGGCACGCCTCCCCGCCGCGCCGCCGCGTGGCCGTTGCCGGAGCGCCCCGCCCGCGTCCCCCGCCCATCTGCCGCGGGCCCTCCCGGCCGGCTGGCGGGGCAACGGCCACCGCGGCGGGCCGCGCGGGGAGCTGCGGAGCAGACGCCCGGGCACAGCCGGAGGGGGTGCGGGCGCGAGCCCGGGGCAGGCGCCGGGGCGGGGCGGGGTCCGCGGGCCCGGGCCGGCTCTGTCCGAGGTGCCCGCCAGCCCCACCCGCGCCCGCGGGGGATCCGCATCCACGCATAAGCTGCCTCCCCGCAGGGAGTTACCCTGCCAGGGCTCACCGGCCGCTGAGCTGATGGCTCACACCTGACAACTCTGCATCCTTAGAGGCTGAGAAGAGGAGGTCTGGGGTTTCAGGCCAGCCAGAGGGGAAAAGTTGCTGACACTCCTCCTCAAAGGAAAGCTGTCGTACTGGTTAGGACCGGAAGCCAAGAGAGGAGCGAGGAAGGAAGGAAGCCATTGTAAATGCCACCCCAGCCAGGCCGCACACACTGGCTCCTTCGGCTCCGTGCCAGGAGCTGCGTCCCTGGTAGAGAATGGCGTTTCCTCAGGGCCTGTCCTGACTCGCCTCTCCCTCCAGTCTGTGGGCAGACGTGTGAGCACTGGAAGGCAGAAACACCAACTCCCTTTGCAACACCAGTTCCTCCAATTTTAAACTTTTTCCCTCCACTCACACTTTGAAGGATTTTGACCAAATAATCCATAGCTCTTTTTTTTAATTTTTGGTCAGTCATGGGGCTTGAACTCAGGGACTAGGCACTGTCCCTAAACTCTTTGCTCAAGGCTAGTGCTCTACCACTTTAAGCCACAGCATCAGGACCAGTTTTCTGGTGGTTAACTAGAGATAAGTGTCACAGATTTTCTGACTGGGCTGGCTTTGAACTGTGATCTTAGTCTCATGAATAGCTAAGATTACAGGCATGAGCTAGTAGTGTCCAGTTTTTGTTTTTTAAATTTCCTGAGACAAGATCTCATTATGCATCCTAGGCTGGCCTTGAATTTTTAATCCTCTTTTCCAGGCCTCCCAAATACTGGGTTTACAAGCATGAACCACTGTACCTGGCACACTCAAACATATCCATTCAAGCATTTAAGGATTCTGGCGATTTCTAACTTAGAAGAAGGAGTTTGTTAGAATCAAGAGAACTCGCCTTGAACAAAAGAGCTCAGGGACAGCACCCAGGCCCCAAGTTCAAGCCCCAGGACCAACAAAAAGAGAAAAAAGTATGACTCAGTGAACAGAGCACCATTCTTGAGCAAAAAGACCAACAAGAGTGTGAGGCCCAGGGCTGAGAATATGGCTTAGTCAGTGCTTGCCTAGCATGCATGAAAAAGCTGGAAGTGGCGCTGTGGCCAAGTGGTAGAGTGCTAGCCTTGGGCAAAAAGAAGCTCAGGGACAGTGCCCAGGCCCTGAGTTCAAGCCGAAGGATTGGCAAAAAGAAAAAAAAAAGAAAAGAAAAAAGAGTATGAGGTCCTGAGTTTAAATCTCAGTACTGGAAAAAAGAGAAAGAAAGAAAGAGAGAGAGAGAGAAAGAAAGAGAGAAAGAGAGAAAGAAAAAAGAGAAAGAGAGAGAGAGAAAGAAAGAAGAAGGAAGGAAAGAAAGAAAGAAAGAAAGAAACTCTCCATAACTATCTCCCCACATAAAATTAGGATAAAAGTTGACTCTCTCTTGAGTCCCTGTAAGAACTAAACATCCACCCGAAGCCTAGCACAGTACCTGGTAACCGGCAGGGGTTCCATGTAGGGGTCAATGCTGCTGACCTGGAGAGGACAAAAGGGCTGGCAGAAGGGACCTGGCTCCCAGGCTGACCCAGCCATGGTCCTCACCAGAATGTGAGAGGTTGGTCAGCAGGGGTAAGTGCTCAGTGCTCATGCCTGGCTCTGTGTGTTCAGGGCCTCTTGAGCTTCTTATCATTTTCAGTCAAAGCAGGCGCTCTACCACTGGAGCTACAGTTCTACTTCCAAACTTTTTGATGGTTATCTGGAGGTAAGAATCACATAGATTTCCTGCTCGGGTTGACTTTGAATCTCCATCCCCTGATCTAAGCCTCCTGAATAGCCAGGATTACAAGCGTCAGCCATGGGCACAGAGCCTCGTGCCTGGCTTTTCTGTACATATTACCAGCAGCCGTGGAGGGACTCGGTGGCATCTGCCCTGCTCAGAAGGATTAGGAGCAGGGCATGAACAGCTAGGTGGCAGAATGTGCCCAGACTCAGGAGCAGCCTGGGGATTAAGGACATCCAATGCAGGGAGGAGGTACAGGAAAGCCGAATCAAGACAAGTCATTTTCACTGCAGTACTCCTTCACTTGCTGGCCTGCCTGCGGTAGGTACCTGCCTGACACGTATGTTCTTTAGAAGGTCCATCCTAGGAAGTCCACCAGGCCACACAGGGCACCCCAGAGGCTTTGCTTTTTCAAGACATCCAGGAGCCAGTGAGGACACTATGTACAGCGCCCCCATGTGGCAGCCACAGGGAATGCTATCAGAGGCTGCCCGGTTCCGCAGGGGCAGGAGGGATTCTGGGTGTTCTTGTAAACAGCTTCATTTGGCAGCAGGTAGGCCAGGGCTGGACTCTGGGTGAAACAGTCAGCTGGTCAGGGGCTGGGCTCCCATCGGGCCAGAGTGTGGGTGAGGATGGGAATAAAACCACATGATCTGTTCAAGGTTGCCTGATACTCCTGTGTTCCCACAACTCCCGGCAGCTTCTGTGTCCAGCTCACCCTGACTCCTCCAGCTCTCATGACTTGTTTCTAGCCTCACCCATAGGGTGCTTTCACACACACACACACACACACACACACACACACACCCCTGCCAGCCTGGGAATTCCCACAGCATCAGGTACCCACTGCAGGGTGTGGAGCCCTGTCTTTGGATGGAACGGGGGCCTCTCCACACTGGACCTCATCCTCAGATTGCTCTCAGCACTCTGAATCCACAGGTCCATACCCACAGTTCTGAGCACTGGTCACCCTGACCTCTGCTCTGTTTTTTCCTCTCTCCCAGGAAATCTGAGGGAACGTTTATTAAGTTTTTTTCCTTATGCCAGTACTGGGGCTTGAATTCAAGGCCCAGGTGCTGTTCCTGTTCACTCAAGGCTGATGCTCTACCACTTGAGCCACAGCTTCACATCCAGCTTTTTGCTGGTTAGTTGGAGATAAAAGACGGTCTTTTTCCACTCAGGCTGGCTTTGAAGCAGGATCTTCAGCTCTCATCTCCTGAGTAGCTAAGATTACAGACATGAGCTATCAGGGCCTAGTTTCCTGTTTTGGTAATATTTACCACCCCCTAGAATTGCAATCATTTGCCAGCTCCGGTCCCCAGTGCCTAGGAACACAGCCACCTTTGAGTAGATTACGTCACTGATCTGCTCCTGGGTGGCTCTTGACTTCTAACTCAATGTTTTTCTGAGGCACATTAGGAGAAAAGATTTTACTGGGAACCAGTGGCTCCTGCCTGTGATCCTAATGACTGAAGAGGCTGAAATCTAAGGATCATGGTTCAAAGCCAGCCAAGCACTAAAGTCTGTCAGACTCATCAATTAACCACCAAAAAGCAGGAAATAGAATTGTAGCTCAAGTGGTAAAGCACCAGTCCGTGAGTGAAAAAGCTGAGGGACAGTGCTCAGGCACTGAGATCAAGCCCCAGTACTGGTACACGTACACACACACACACACACAACCAGCAGCCAGGCGCTGGTGATTCATGCCTGTAAACCCAGTTACTAAGGAGGCAGAGACCTGAAGATCTGAAGATCAAAGCCAGCCCAAGAAGGAAAGTCCATGAAGTGGACCTGTGGCTCAAGTTGTAGAACGCCAGACTTGAGTGAAAAAGCTCAGAGACAGCGCCCAGGCTCTGAGTGCAAGTTTTGAGACTGGCACAAAAGAAAACAACAAAAACTTACTGTGCAGCGCCAGGTGGCAGCGGGACGCCAGGGCGGGATCAGGGCTGGGGGCGTGGCGGGGCGGGGGGGCGGGGCCCTGGCCGAAGCCGAGGGATCAGGGCTGGGGGCGTGGCGGGGGCGTGGCCCGGGCCAGAGGCCGACGCCCTCACGGAGTGCAGCCGAGGCTGAGAGGAGCACCGGCAGCGCCGAGCCGGCCCGCGGCTGCTCCCCTCGGGTCCCGCATCTCCGACGGCGGCGCCGCGGGAGGCCGGGCGCATGCGGCCCCCGGGAAGGCAGTGATCGCGGGGTGGCAGCGCACCATGGCGCTGGAGCAGGCGCTGCAGGCCGCCCGGCAGGGGGAACTGGACGTGCTGCGGTCCCTGCACGCCGCCGGCCTGCTGGGGCCCTCGCTGCGCGACCCCCTGGACGCGCTGCCCGTGCATCACGCCGCGCGCGCCGGCCAGCTGCACTGCCTGCGCTTCCTGGTGGAGGAGGCCGCGCTGCCCGCCGGGGCCCGGGCCCGCAACGGCGCCACCCCGGCCCACGACGCCGCCGCCACCGGCCACCTCGCCTGCCTGCAGTGGCTACTGTCGCAGGTCGGCTGCAGAGTGCAGGTGGGTCCGGGAGAGGGCTCGGGACCGAGTCTCCCAGAACACACGCCCTGGGTGGATGAAGTGGGGTGCCCCTGGCCCGGCCGAGTCCCGCACGGATTTCCTAGACAGGGGCTCCCTGGAAAGAGCATCTGGTGACAAACGGGGGACCCGGGCTCCGCGGGGCTGGTATTTCCTGGGAGAAGGTTAGAAGGAGTTTGGGGTGAGGGTGGTGAAGAATCAGACCAAGTCTGAAGGGGGGGGTGGGCAGAGCCCCACTGCCCCAGACTTAGACCCAGGACGGACAGGGACCAAAGGTATTGGTCGCTTTGGGCCTTCCAGATCTCAGTTGCTTCTCATGATGCCTCAGTCTTCTTGCCCCAAGATGTCACCTGAATGACCTCGGGGGAGAGAGCTGGTGGGTGGGAAGATCTGAGCGTTCTAAGCACCGGGAACAGGAAGCGCCAAGCCCTGAGGTGCACAGCTTCTTGCCCCCTGGATAGAGTGGCAGAGAAGCCAGGGGTCGGGGCTCTGGTTGGGTGGCAGCCATTGGACCAGGCCTAGAGGGTCTCTTTAGGCTGATATTGTGGTTGCTGGGGCAACCAGTGGGGGGGGGGAGGAAGCAGAAGTGATTTTCCACTTATAAGGACCACAGGGTTAGCTGGAGATTTGGGGCAACTCTAAGCTGGCTTGCTGTGCCATCCCCAAACAATAGCCTACCCTACCCCCACCTCCTGCCTTCAGGAGATAAGATCCCCCTCACCCCGCTTTCTCATCCCTTCTGAGAGATGCTGTATCGCCTCACTGGCCCTGTTATCAGGGGTTCCCAATTATCAGGAGTTCCCAGCCACATGGCTGATCCCCAAGTCCTCTGCTGGCCAGAAGCCACCGCTGCCTCCTCCTCCTCCTCCTCCTCCTCCTCCTCCTCCTCCTCCTCCTCCTCCTCCTCCTCTTCCTCCTCCTCCTTCTCTCCCTCCTCCTCCCCCTCCTGCCCCTCCTCCCCCTCCTCCCTGAACTCTTTCTCCCTAAACCTGGTGTCTAGCTCTGGCCGGTAGCCTCCCTACCACTGCAGAGGAGAGAGAAGGAACAAGCGGCCTTGTGTCCAGCTTATCAAGAGTTCTGCACTCCAACCCGAGTAGGCTTTGGTGCTAGAGTCAGAAGGGGGAGGGAGGACCTTGATCCCTGGCCCCCCCCACTCCACCTCTGAGAGATTGGATCCCAGCACATCTAGCTCTGGAGGCCTACCCCAGCTGGTGATGTCCCAGAGACAGGCCAGAGCCTTTGGAGGCCAGGGTCTTTGCCTTGGAGCCTCAGACCCACAGCCCCCAAGGTGAATGGAGCTCAAGAAAAGATGCTCCACAGGTACCAGTGCCTCACACCTGTAATCTTAGCTCCTCAGGAGGCTGAGATCTGAGGATTGAGGTTCAAAGCCAGCCTGGGCAGGAAAGTCTGTGTGACTCTTATCTCCAATCAATCAGCACAAAGCTGCAAGTGGGGTTGTGACACAATGGTAGAGCACTAGCCTTGAGTGAAAAAGCTAACGGACAGCATCCGTGCCCTAAGTTCAAGCCCTAGTACTGGCACATGCGCACGTGCACGCTTGTACACACACAGACAGAACTGCGGCTCGTTTCACCATGATCTTGCTCCAATCATCTCTAGCCAGTGCCATCCCTGGTTCGGGAGAACGGGAGCAGGCCATGTGTCCAGCGCACAGGAGAGTTCTCAGGGTTTGTGTCAGTTTCCTGTGGGCCATTTATTTCCTGCCCCATAATCCCACCCCCTTCCCAGAGCCTTTCTGATGATATTGTGCTCACAGCTCCAGCTCCCCTCTGCCTTTTCCTCCTTGAAGGATGCTCTGTCTTCTTCCCACTGAGATTCACCTTCTTCACTCTATCTGGCCAACTCCTGCTGACTTGGCCACGTCTCTCCCCACGGTGCCCTTCCCCGAGTGACAGAGAGGCTTCGATTCTCCACTCCCAGTGGACCATGTCCACCTCTCACTGCTGCCCAGCCTCCTCCCCTCTCCCCACCTCTCCGTTGCCCCAAGAGCTAGGTGTTTTTTTTGTTTGTTTGTTTCTGTGTGTCAGTACTAGGACTTGAACTCAGGGCCTGGACATTCTCCTTGAGCCTTTTGCTTAAGAAGGGCACTCTAAAACTTGAGCCACAGCTCTGCTTCCTGTTCTGATGGTTTATTGTAGAGAGTCTTACAGACTTGGCTGCCTGGGCTGGCTTTGACCCTTGATCCTCAGATCTCAGTCTCCAGTGTGATTAGGATTACAGGCATGAGCCACCAGCACCCAGCCAATCGGTTAATTCTAAAACAGTGCCTACTTTCCCAGATGTACCAGCCTCAGTCTGAAGGGCTGGATTCTTGGCCATTCTGACCACTACATAGGTACCATGTGCAGCCCCACCTTCTAACAGCACACACGGGACACAGTCATTCAGCATTGTGGACCCAAGAGTCCTGGGGCACCTGTGGGAGGGCACCTGTGGGGGGGGCACTCCTCCCAGGGGCCTCCACGCTGGCAGACTACCCTAGGCCCTCCCCATCAGTACCCACGAATTTCCTCCTCCACACAATAAGAACACAGCTTGTTCCTGAGACTGGGTACAGGGCAGACTGCGTGCGAGCCACAGGAGAGAGCTGCCTGTTCCTGTACTGGGTTGTTGGAATGTACCGAGGTCGAGCTCTCTGGGAAAGGAGGATGAGGAGGCATGCGGGTGGGAGGCAGAGTATTCCCTGGTCCTGATACTAGCCTGGGGCGGGGCAGGCTCCCACGCTTCTGAGTGTGTCAAGACACACTCGTTCTGCAGATGTCTTCAGCCTGTGGCCCTGGGCCTGGAGTGGGGGCTCTTATTAGGATTCAGGGTGCTATGTGCAGGCACCACTCACTCAGTCATGCCCAGAACACTGCTGAAGGCCCATACAGTACTGCTGTGTATGGACTGAGGGTCAAAGATCAAAAGACAGAAGCAAGGATTGAAATCCAGGGATCAGCTTAATTCCCTGAAACCTTGCTGCGCTGGGCCTAGCCGTTCCTTTCTGGGAAGTGCGGAGGAGACAGGGCTGTCCTCTGCTTGAAGGAGACTGACCCAGTGCTGGAGCAGGTTCAGGCTGTGGGGCTTTAACCGTCTCTCTCCTCACAGGACAAAGACAATTCTGGTGCCACAGTCCTGCATCTGGCTGCCCGCTTTGGCCACCCTGAGGTGGTGAACTGGCTGCTGCGCCATGGCAGCGGGGACCCTGCCATGACCACAGACACCGGTGCCCTGCCCATCCACTACGCCGCGGCCAAAGGAGACTTCCCCTCCCTGAGGCTCATTGCGCAACACCACCCTGAGTAAGGAGTCCTGTCCTTGATTTGGGGGCTGAGATCCAACCCAGAGCCCTGCTCCATAGGCTTTACTAGGGCTCTGCCTCAGAGCTGTAACCCCCAAGCTGGGATTAAACTCAGGGCCTCCTGCTTGCTAGCCAGGTGCTCTACCCCTTGAACCATGCTCCCAGCCACCATTGACTTCACTCTTTTTTTTTTTTTTTTTTTTGCCGGTCATGGGGCTTGAGCGCTGGGCACTGTCCCTCACTCAGCTCTTCAGCTCAAGGTGAGCACTCTACCACTTGAGCCACAGAGCCACTTCGGGTTTTCTGGTGGTTCACTGGAGATAAGAGTCTCACGGGGCCTTTCCTGCCAGGGCTGGCTTTGAACCATGATCCTCAGATCTCAGCCTCTCGAGTAGCTAAGATTACAGGCATGAGCCACCGGTGCCCTGCTTGACCTCACTCTTTTTTTGTTTTGGTCGGTCATCGCCTGAACTCTGGGCCTAAGCGCTGTCCCTCAGCTCTTCAGCTCAAGGCTAGTGCTCTACCACTTGAGCCACAGCGGCACTTCTGGCTTTTTTCTGCTTATGAGGTGCTGAAGAATTGAACCCAGGGCCTCATGCATGCAAGGCAAGCACTCTACCACTGAGCCACTTTCCCAGCCCATTGGCCTCACTCTTAACGGAGTCTCTGGATACGGTAGCCAGGGCTCTGGGAAATGCTTAGAGTCGGCTACGTCTGTCCAGTATTCCAGGAGGATGACTGCTCCAGTGGTCATCCTGGTCCACGCCTAACACAGCTCCTGCCCAAGCTGGAATTTCTCCTCTCTTAGAAGCCCTTTTGGGGTCCCCCAGCTACTCACTTCAGGCTTTTACCAGCAGGGTTCCTCCAGAATCCCTGGCAGTAACGTATCTGGGCTTAGGAGGCTGCATACACAAGCCAAAGCCACTTGCTCCCCTCCAAGGAACCTGCCAGCCTCTAGCAAGCAGGTGGCTCTCTCCAGCTCTGCTCTATGATTACTTGAAAACCAAGTCATAGTGGTGTGGCAGGGGCAGGAGTACCCCTAGACCCCTACCCAGTCCAGCAGGTAGAGGAGGGGCCACATCAGCTATCAAGGAGGCCAGGGAGCGCTGTCCTCCCGGTCCTTCCCAGAGCTGTGGCCCAGCAATCAGGAGAGCTGTTTTCCTTTCTGTGCTCCTGGGCCACTCTCATTACCATGGGAGGAGGAAGTGCACATTGGGAGGCCCAGGCCTGAATGGCTGCGCAGAGAAAGCAGTCTAGCCGGCGAGGCTGGGAGCTCCCCAGGTGGGGTGGGGTGGGGCTCGCCAAAAAGCAGAGTCCCAGGAGGATTTCAGGCCTAGGTGCCTAAGGGAGATGGGACCTGGGGTTCTGAGGACATGGGCTGCCAGTGGCCACCAGGGACCTGAGCCAGATGAGGGCACTAGCCAGTGACCCTTGTAGGTCTCCTCAGGGGAAGAGCAGCTTGGAGGTAAGAGAGTTTCACCAGCTGGGCACCAGTGGCTCACACTTGTAATCTAGCTACTCAGGAGGCTGAGATCTGAGGGTCACGGTTCAAAGCCAGCCCTGCCAGGAAAGTCTGTGAGACTCTTTATCTCCAGTGAACCACCAGAAAACCGTAAGTGGTGCTGTGGCTCAAGTGGTAGAGCGCTCACCTTGAGCTGAAGAGCTGAGGGAGGACAGCGCCCAGGCCCAGAGTTCAGGCCACATGACCCACAAAAAAAAAAAAGAGAGAGAGAGAGAGAGAATTTCACCCATCACTCATCCATTCCCAAGGATGCTTTGGCCATTGGTCACCAGGCAGCAGGCTGGAGCTGGACGCTGTGGGCTGAGGCATGGGTGTGGATACAGAACCACCTTGCAGTCCTGCAGGCTGCGCTGCAGTGGTCTCCCCTGCTCAAGACAGAGAGAATAAGCCTAATTCTATCTTTCTGGCTGAGCTTCTCCGGTTGTGGGACGGCCAGCTGTTCATCAACAGTGAGGTGCTCTTCACAGCCATTTGAAGGCTACTGAGGTGTAATTTCTCTGTGTCCAGACGGGAGAGGGGTTGGGCATATCACAGTCCATAGGATTTAGAGTTGGAAGGCCTCAGAGACCTTGGAGGGCAGGATCAGACCCAGCACCATCAGCAGCTGTGGGAAGCATCGGCTCAGACTCCTGTTAAGCCCTCCGATTGGGTCCTGGCACACGGGACTCTGACGCACCATCAAGTCCAGTGGCCGTGATTCTGATAAGCCTGTCCAGAAGTGCTCCATGCCTGCCAACCTGCCCACCACACAGCCTGCCCAGTGGCCTGGCTGAGGTTGGAGCCAATGGAGCTCAGCCGTGTGAACCAAGAGGGCTTGGAAACTGTCCCTGAGAATTTAGGGCCTAGGACCTGGAAGCCTCCACAGATTGGGGATCCTGAGCCTCGGGAAGACTCAGCCTGTACTGTGAACCCCCAGGCTTAAAAGCCCCTTTCCCCTCCCAGGCGATGCCAAGTTTTGGATATAGTTGGGTCCTAGTGCCATCTCTGCAGCAGATGGTCTGGCCGATGGGCTGCCAGGCCTCTAGAAGTCACCATGAATCTCGGAGAAGTAGGTGGAGGCCTTGAGTTATGGGTTCCACAGCAGCAGGACACAGCTGATAAGGAGGTGCTTTGTGTAGTTGCCAGGCTCGGCTTGGTCGAGGTCTATACACTTAGCCTTGTGGGGGGCAGGCGGTGGCTCCTGCTGTCCAGGGCTGTGGATAACAGAGCAGGAGCCGGGGAGGGCAGAGGCCGGACTGCCTCAGGCCACAGGGTCCAATCAGAAGACACAGGCAGCCCGGCTAGGAGCCCATGGCTTCATGCTCTCCTGAGCCTCCCAGGCCTACTGTGAAGTGTGAATTATTCACGAGGCCTCAGCTCTCTCCCTGGTAGCTGGTGAGGGAGGAAGGCGCCCATGCCTACCAGCAGGAAACTCGATCCCATCCCAGGAGGCTGTCAGTGACCACGAGCAGTGACAAACAGCCGAGGAGCTGGAGGGCTGGACGCTCCAGGGGAGAGCTGGCTCATGCCAGGGCTGTGCCTTGGGGTGTCGCACAAGGCTGGGGGAGGCAGGAACACCCTGTGCCGTTCTCCCCATCCCTAGTCTATCCCAGCTCACTGCGCCAGATCTTCCCAGCACAAGGCTGACCTCAGTGACCTTCGGGGGCAGGGAGTGCTACCCAAAGGGCCCCCTACCTCTGAACCCATTGCACAGAGCTGTGGGCATGGAGCTCATAGGGGCTGGGTCTTAAGTCAGAGAGAGACAGAGTGGAGGGGGCTGACCCTCCTGGGCAGGCCCTAGTGGCTGGTGGGGGGACGGGGGCCCTGGATCCCCAGCCAGGATTAAGGAGGAGCCGGGAGCAGATAGCCCTCACTGTCTCCCAGCACCTCTCAGAGTAGTCCTCAGATCCAGAAACTTCCTTCTGCTTGTTCTACCTTTTCAATGTCTGCCACGGACTGCCCTGGGGTCTTAGCTGCTGCACAAGAGCCCGGCTTCAACTGAGATTTAAGGCTTGGTTGGGGGTCTGAGTCCTTGGGTTCGGCCAGTCACATCAAGCTGGAAGATCAGCTGATCCAATTTTTCTTTTCTTTTCTTTTTGCCGATCGTGGGGCCTGAACTCTGGGCCTGAGCGCTGTCCCTCAGCTCTTCAGCTCAAGGCAAGCACCCTACCACTTAGCCACAGCGCCACTTCCGGCTTTTTCTGCTTATGTGGTGCTGAGGAATCGAACCCAGGGCCTCATGCTTGCAAGGCAAGCGCTCTACCACTGAGCCACCTTCCCAGCCCCGGGTCCAATTATTTTTCTGTCACTTGTGGGTCTTGAACTCAGGGCCTGGGCACTGCCCCAGAGCTTTTTGCTCAAGGGTAGCACTCTACTACTTTGAGCCATAGCTCCATTTCCAGCCTTTAGGTAGCTAGTTGGAGGTAAGAGTGTCAGGTACTTTACTGTCCTGTCTGGCTTTGAACCATGATCCTTGAATAAAACAGCTAAGGAACAGCACCCATGGCTTGAGTTCATCCTCCAGTACCAACACACACACACACACACACACGTCAGACTCCTAACACAGAAACAGGGCAGGCCACCTCATTACCGGGGCCTAGAGACCCTCCCTTCCCTTCTGGCTCTGTGCTTTCCAACTGTGCTTTCTCTGTAGTCTACTCTAAGGCTTCTCCCTGGCCAGTGTGCTGCTCCTCCAATAGCTCACACTGTGTGGCTTTGCCCTGGCCATTCCCTTGGCCTAGAACTGTTGGAGCTGCAGTAGCAGCCTGGCTTCCTTCAGCCTCTGCTCCGATCTCACCCCAGCAAGGCCAGCTGAGCCTGTTCAGACCCTAGACTGCCCCCACCACACTCAATCCCAGCTGGCCTGGCCCCCCCCCGCCCCCCAATCATGAGCAGGCAGTGCCTTCTATTCACTTGTCTTCTTACTGTCTGTCCCTTCTGACTAACAAGGCTAGAGACTTTAATCTTTCCCGCTCTGTATGCTCAGTGCCTGATATGCATTGAACCTTTGTTTGTTGAATGAATGAGGAGTCAAGGGGGAAAAAAGGGAGGAGAAAAAAAAACAACATGTCTTGTCTGGTTCTGCTTACAACCCACTGCTTGTGGCCTTAGATGAAACTCCCCTTCTGTGCTTCCGGGTGCCCATCTGACTAGTGGTCTCATTATGCCCTCCAAGGCTGAAGCTCCAGTTCTAGCTCCTTCTCTGCCTCACTTATGTATATTCGAATGGCTCAACAGATAGCATCGGAGCACCTGCCTGGCCATCAGCAATGGGGAGGTAGTACGAGTGGCTTTCCAGGAAGTCTTAGGGAGCAAGTAGAAGAGACGGTGGAGAACTCACACCTGGTACCCCATTCAGATGCCTGCTCCTCATCCTAGTCCATGTGTGCAGCGAATGAATGAATGTGTGAATGAATGAGTGAGGTAAAGGAACAAGATAACTCAGGAGTGATGAGTGCTTTAAGTGGAGGGGATCAGAGAAAGCCTCTCTGAAGAGC